GCAGTCTGTGTTACAGGTGGTCTGAAGAAACCTCTGACTGAAGACTTGTGTAATATGGAGAAAACCTCCTAGAAGCTTAATGACAGTCTGCTCTATACATCAAAATCCAGTTGTGATGTGTGTTGGGCGTCTTTGTCCTCTTGGAACAATTAGTTTTGTTCATATTTTAACCATCATATCTAAACTGTCATTTGTACACAAAAGCAAAGTTCAAAGTTACATAACTACCCAGGAACCACTGAGGTACAAAGCAGGAGCTGCTTTTGAGTGACTCGAATTTAACATCAACATGGATTCAGTCCGTCAAGAAAATGAGACCCATCTACTCTAAAACTTAGACATTGACTCGCTGCATAACTTCATTTGGATAAGCCAAATGCTTTGTGGGGAAAAGCTGAGCTGTTTTGCCAAAAGGACATAAAATGTCAAGAAGAGGATTTTCAAAGCTTGTACGAACTGTAAAACAAGGCGGTGGTAGCATCATGGCCGGGGCCATTTCTTAATTAAACATCTATTCTATGTGTAAAAGCCTAATGAGTCACAGGGACCAATCCAGTGTATATGAACTCAAGAAATTCCAGTAAAAAGTGGTCAAAAATCCAGACAAAACATTTCCAGGGATTCGTTGACATCCACAAGAACGTGACTTCCCTGCAATTTGCTCATGGACATTTATACAAATAATAGTGGGCCTAATATCTGAGTCAATATCTAATTTTAATCAGAAAAAAAAACCCAGTAAATTTTCCAGCTTTTCCTTTTGTAAACCAGTGTTGTTGTATCTTGTATTTCTAGTCCAGTCCCCAGAAAGAAGAGATTAACTTAAACATTACAAGGTCCAAGTTAAGATGACCTCCATTTTCAAGGGGAGTGAATGTTGATATTTTCCATCACTTTTTTTTTTTATCCAACTAAGAAGTTTTACGTGGATTTAGAGGAAAAGCGATTCAGCTCTTAGTGCGTCGTGCCAGAAACCATCAGTTTCTTGGCAGCCCACAGGATTTGCTTGTCGACTCATGCCTTAAGCCTATTAAATCTTTCCTGTTGTTTACATATAAACTGCAGATTGTGCTTTCATTATCAGTATTAGGAGATTTTCCAAAACGTTTTCAGTTTTCCTGTCGACATTCAGTACCGGAGCTGAAAGTTACCATGTTACTGCAAGCCAAATCCACGTTTCTGTTTCCAAAAGCACGTTTTAAATCCATGTTTTCAAAAAAATCCCAGCAGGTGAGCAGAGACTTGGACGTAGCCGGTATTTAATTATACTAATCCCGGTTTGCACGCTAAACAGATAAACTGACATAAAACACAGTTTAGTGTACGTTATTTAACTTTTCTGTCTAGTCCGTGAAATAAGTTTGTCAGCGTATCGCAGATTAGATTCTTTATGTGATAAAATGTTAAATATAAGGCTTCTGAATCTGTTTTATTTTGGTACAATTAAGGACTCTGTTTTTCGCTCAGGCTTAGGATTCCTGGATGTGTACACTGTATATTACCCGCTCAATTAATACTGGATAGAAAAAACAACGAAAGTTAAATGTTTTATCAGCCTAATATAGTCTTAAAAGCTCCATCCTCTGGGTCTGTTGTTTTATTCTTACGTGTTTTTATGTCTCTGAGTTATATATTAAAACAATTAAAAATGGGTGCACACTTTTAACATGAATCTCTGAATGTAAATCATCTTCATTTTACCCACAGTCCTAACCTGTTCTTGTTCATTTTTGCCTCATTTTTGCTGCTCATCAGGCGATCCATGCAGGCGTCCCTGGAAACGGCTTTTTCAAATTTAATCCCTGTTTAGGATTAAGCACCAGTGTTATAAAAACACTCAACATTATAAAAATACTTGAGAGGCCTCCACTATTTTTTAAAGTAACATTTACGTATCTGCCTTGATGGACATGTAACTTTTTATTTTGAGGTGATGCTATTAATAAACAGTTGTGGCAAAAATCTTTCCACAGTGATGTAAAAATGTTTTCTTATGTGTTTTTTTTTTTTTTTGTCTGTTTTACAGGAAAATAAAGAGACTAAATGCAGAAATTAGCACTTTTTGCTAACATGTGGTTGCAAAAAATCAATGAAATGTTGGACAACCGAATCTGGCAGGGAAAATATCTCGGCACCAGGGTTCTGCTGTCAGACTTATTACTTTCTGCAGAATCTTGTTCTTCTTTTATTTTTTTATTTAATTTTTTTTTTTTTGAGACACAAGCTACTTCTTTGCTTCTCTTCATTTCAATGTTCTCAACAGCGTTTCCACTGCCGCCGATGTTGAGCAAGCTCTGCTCTGGTGGCGACACATTTTTGTCCTTCACAGGAAATTCTGAATCCTTCCACACAGCTTTTTGCTGCGACACTCTTTGTTTCATTTGGATTCAAACAAAGTGAGGACAGCTGCAGGTTTTTTTGCATCTACCCTCGTAAAAGCAACCAGGCTGCTGATTATATAAAATATTTTAGATTTTGTTAAAAAGTGCATTTGTGTCGCTATTTAAACTTCTGGAACATTTTAAGCTTTTGATATATTTCATTGTCTGAGTGCAAGCTAAGTTTGTGTCGGCACAATTACGTTTTTTTTTTTTGTTTTGTTTTGTTTTATATAAAAGCTATGTCTGAAAGGCACTATTTTTGGTCAAAAGTATTTTCTTTCTTCTTAGCAGGTTTTCATTGTCTTGTGACTTTTAAAGAATGAAGTCTCCTGAGGTAAAATGGAAAGAAACAACCAATCCAAGTGTCCCCTGCACTCAGTAAATCACTTTTACTCTAGTTTAAACCTCCCAATCAAACAGCATGACCAATTTGAGGCACTGATGATGTTCAAAAGAAACCTTCCAGTGTAGTAACATGAGTCACTTGTTTTCCCGGTAGTCAGCAAAGCATTCAGAGAGATTCATCTTCTGGAGACGAGTGCGTGGAAACTGTAGAAAGTGGACTGGATTTCACAGAGAATAGATAATCACGCCGTTTTGTTTTTCTTCACATAAATTTTACTTTCTATTTTTTATTTTCCTAAACACTGTTGCTCATCAACCCCTGAACTTTGGAGCCAACTATCTATGAATGTGCTCATCCCTACAGTTTGTGCAGCCAAGGTAGACAGCGCTGTCGGCCAAGCTGGGAACTTGAAGCCAATGCAAAACATTTTTTAGGATTCTCCAGGGAGATAAAGTCATGAGACACTTTTTTTTTTCCTCTCTTTCTAATGTTACACAATGCACTGAAGTGAAGCTATCATTATTTTTTTTTTTTTTTTTTTTTTTTTTTTTAAAGAAGGGGTTACAAAGGAGATCATCTGTCAGTAAAATACTGAGTTCATGGAGCTCAAATGCAGCTGGCAGTATTTGACATTGTCTTTGTCATCATAGGTGTCGCCATTCGTATTTGCTGACATCCTGGAAGAATTAAAATTTTATTTCTGATGCTTTCTTCCTCTGTTTCTGGAAGGTTTTTTTTCTGTTTTTTTGTGAGCTCATCACTGCCTGCAGAACTGCAGATCTGAGTGTCTTTCAAGGCATTTCCGAATATGAAAAACATATTGGAAAAACACATGGAAATAGGATTTATTTTAGGAAATCTGACTGGAATAAGAGTCAGCTGACTGTCTGCTTTGTGGCTTGTTACATAATATTTTAACTCCAGTAAAATGTTTTTTTTTTTTTCATGTCTTTTTGTTTCCCTCGGAGGGAAAAAAAGAGAGAAAAAAATAGAACGAGGAATAATAGAAACATTATTTCTAGAAGGGAAATTAACAAAGGAATTGTTTCAAAGCCCAAATTTTCCACCTCTGCAGCATCAATTGGAGTAAAAAAAAAAAATAAAGATGAGGATTTCCCAAATGGATCAGTCATTAGCTTTATTAGCTAGGGCTCAGTTTTTCCTCACATTTAAAATTAAATTGTTCAGATCAATATTTTCAGCATTTTATTGAATATATTAATATTGAAAGCAAGATTTTTTTCCCCTTTGTGACAGGGAGAATATACAAATATTTCTGAGTCGATATAATTTTAATCAGGCTAACAGCATAGACCACTTGATAGAAATCTAAGTAATCCACATCTACCAAAAAAAGTGTAAGTTAGATCATAAGATAATCATAATTTACGATTATCATAACTTCAGATGATGTTTTTCGCTGAGAAAATCATCTTATGACAGGGATTGGGTTGGAGAACAAATCCCTGCACATCTTTAAAAAAAAAAAAAAAACTATCACCTTTGGAGTTTGGATATGGGAACATCATGATTTTCAGCAGCAGGTTCATACAAGTGGGGGACAACAAGCCTCCATAACACCTATTGTAATGCTCTCTGTATTAGATGATACTACTGGATAATATTTTATTTTAAGGCTAATACATGTGGAGGACATTGTCATAATTCCCAGGATGTCCCATAATACTCAGAGTTTGGAGAACTTGTGCTCCAATTAAAGATGAATAATAAAAAACCCTTTATTATAATTGTTCTCCACTCAGCAGCCGGATCCTTCGTGCCTGACGGATTTAGCTTGCTGCCGTCACATGAGGAATGTGTAAATCTTGTGCAGATTTTGCTGGGATCAGAAGACGCTTTAAAACCTCCTGAAAGTGAAGCAGCTGGATTCAGGGCAAATCAGGGCGGGGTCAGGGGTCAGCGATGCTCTCCTCAAAAAGAGCAGTGTCTTCTTCTGAGACGGATGAAACGTATCTAATTCCACTTTCTGGTAAATCGATTTACATTCTCATCCAGACCCTCTTCTCCAAGTGAAAAGCTGTGAAAATGGTTTATTTTAAGACTTGCTGGAAAATACACAGTCACCTTGTAAAAACTCGGGACAGTCGACTTCTACCAGCTGCACCTTCTGATCATAAGGCCAGCCACCCACATCCGGGGAATATTCAGGAGATTTACCTCACACACACAAGCTCTAAAACATAACCTAAAGTAGTAGATTTTTAACATAATTAATAAAAACAATAAAAAAAATCAACTGTGAGTCAAGCAGACAAATTATTTTAAGTTTTATTGCACAGTGAACAAATCGAAGGTTTCAGATCTGCTGCTGGGTCAGTCACAGATTAACTCTCCGGAGAAAGACGTTTAACTTTACAGGAAATGAAAACCTGTAAAGATAACCTCCAGGTTGTCACTCAAAGGGATCAGAAATTAATTAAAGTTACATGTACTTAAAACATTTTATTTCAGTAATCCGGTCTCAGTGTGGTACCTCTTCTCCATCCTGCGTGAGATCCAACAGAGAAGGATTTGTGTACTTGGAGGTCTGCATGAGGAATAAGAAGTGGATTAAATCTGAGAGAAACACCAAGTCCAGCACGACACAAATAAACAAAATATCTGTTGGCAGAATATCAGACAGTAAGGCAGGCAAAAGAAGATGGATTTCTCTCGAATTACCAAAGGCGACCATTCTGCTGAAAACACACTTCGGTCCAGGATTATTAAACAATTAAAAGAACTCAGAGTTAATTGATGAGGACACAACACATTTCATGGCAAGGTGGCAACAAATAGTGCTAGTAGCGTCAGCAGGCAGAGCATTAAAGTGATGGTTTGTGAGCATAAAGTTTCCCAGGTGGGAATATCAGTGGTTTTTGCATTTATGTGCCCTCTGCCAGTTCAAAATACCTTCTGAAGTCCTCAGATCCCAGCAAAACGTCGACTGTCCGAATGTTTACACCAGGTTTGTATTTTTCTCACGAGATACAAACGCAATATTGTTCAAGTTCCTTTTATGCAACTTTTGGATGCCTTTAAGATTTTAAGCAGCTCCAAAACTCTGACAAACAGTGAATGACTGTTTCATCGAGCACTTTTTAATGTAATAGACAAACGAAACAGAAACATCTAAACAACTCTTATTATTTACACTATCTGACGTAGACTTGTGAAGAAATCACTATTTTATGTTTTATGCATTTTTTTTTTTTTTTTTTTTTTGAGCAAAGTCAATGTATTTTTGTTCGAACACAATTTCAGCGATTTGTGGGTGAAATTTTGAGATTCTTGCGCCCTCAGTTGATCTCGTGGTTGGGTCGCGGAGGAGGGCGTGAGGGCGGAGGGGCTCTGCATGGAGGCGACCCCTGAGGTGGCGGAGGCAGGGAGCCCGTGGGAGACGGCGGCGCTGAGTTTTGCCTGGCGTTGGTCGTCGACGGCAGGTCTCTGTCGGGAGGAGGCGTGTACGAGGAGCTGCTGGAGGACGGGGGCGGAGTCGACGGCAGAGGCGGCAGGGTGGAGGTTGGCGAGGGGGGCAGGTGGAGGTCCTCGCAGTCATCGGATGGGCGCCGTTGGCACCTGTGCGGTAAGGTGTAGACAGGCGTGGAGGAGTGGTTGTAGATGGGGTAGCGGGGAGGCGGGTAGGACGGGCTCCGGGTGAAGTTGATGCACCGACCCTGTGATGGAGGCGCAGAGAGCAAAGGGGGAAATGTGTAGCTGTACGACTAATGACGAAACGACAATTAGCTTTATGAGGGCGAGAAACTGGGCACAAATTCCTAAATTTCCTGTTGCAGGGCGACTGGCAAAATTTGCAAGTGGAAAGAGTGCATTTTTTCTTTTTAGTGAGTGACATAAAAGAAAACTCCGCCATGCAGACTCTGTGAACTTTGGGAGCCAGACTGCATGGAGTCCTGATGACTTCTGCAGGCCTGTTCCTCCAAACAATAATGCATTGTCCAAATTACTTCATCATCTCCCAATGGCAGCTTCCATAAGGCTAATTTAAATTATATTTAACTCAAATATGACACTGAAGTTACCCCAGTCTTGCCATGTGGGTGTTTTTAGGTTTGCTTGTTTTGCTACAGAACTTGAATTTATTTTCACATCTTGTCTTGCTTCATTGTAGAAAAATAAAGTCACCTTGTCTCCAGGATAAGGTCGCATCACTGAAACTCTGTCGTAGCCTCTTCTCAGCAGCACATACAGAGCATCCAGCTTTCCCTGGAAAAAGATGACATCTGTCACTTCTGTAACATTATTATCATCTTATGATCATGATCAGTAGCTTTCTGAGCTTTCTCTTTTGACGTTTTGCAGCTTCAAGATTTTTTTTTAAATTAATTTTCCATCTGAAAACCATTACTTCTTAAGTTTGTTGACTTTCACACACAACAGAGGATCATAAGGGCATTAAAAAGTCTCTTAGGAACAAAGCTGTGTTGTATTTACACTAAACTTGGAGTTCATTACAAAGACAAAAATTATTGTTTCACAGGTATAAAAACTTGTATTTATCCCAAATAAACCCAAAATGTCGAAAAGTCGTCATATGCCAGCAGCCGTTCAGTTTTAAAAACAAAACATGTATTTTTCTGCTTTTAGTTGTTCATAAGTTATTTATTTTTTATCAGATAACCTGAAATGATTTCATTGTACCATTAATCGTTTGAAAAACAAATCTTATGAAGAAGAGAGAGATGAAAAACAGGTCCAACCCTGAGCTCAGTCCTTTTCTCTGCAGAGGCGTGGAAGGCTTTATGTAATAAACAGCGACAGATAAGCAACGAATGCAACCGGATAAAAACACAACAGACTCCACAGATTCCTTTCCGAGGGTTTAGCCCAGTTCAAGTCTGGATCTTGTTAACGTCCGTCCTTCCAGCTGACAAATATCGGAGGAAACAGAATTTTATAACCTACTTCCTGGTAACACATCATCAAAAGCACTAAAACCAAAATATTTTCTCACTTCTGGTGTCTTAGGAAACTTTTTTGTGAGCAAACACAAAAACTCAGAAGACGAAAGCACATTTACCCAAATCCAGGGTTTGTATTTAGGAGCAAATCTGAATTGCAGCGAAAGGAGGAAAATAAATGAATAAATAAAATCTGACTTCAGTTCAGAAGGTGGGGAAAAAGTGAGTGAGCACCTTAATGGGAGAATACCACTTCTGGGATCGGATGGTTTTGTGTGTGTGGTAATAAAGCCGCGGTGGAGGCGGATCGTACTCCTGAGCGGGCATCACAACTCGAGCATTTTTGGCTTTTTCCAGTTTGGCTCCTTCCTCAGTCGAGCCTTTATCTCCCCAGCGGACCTGAACAGACGGACAAGCAAAGGAGAGCAGCCGCGTGAAATGAAAACGACAACAAACTGCAGATATTAGTTAGCAAAACCTGCAGTAACATATAGTAAACATACGGCCTGAACTCAACAGGACGGCCTTTATTTACCGACGACCCCACCTGGAGCGTTTGTTTCGTCTGACTTCAGCACATGGTTCCAGTTAAACTTCACATGTTTATGAAGGTGGGACACAAGACACATTTTGATGCAATATTTTCCCCCCATAGAAACGTTGGCACTGAAAGCTGTTATGGAGATTTTATGACCCCGAGATCCATTAATCGGGTCCCATCAGAACTTCGTTTATGGAGCACTCTTCATACAGCCAGAAAAACGTTCTTCAAATAGATTGAAAACACAAGGGCAGACATAAAATCTCTAGATACAGACTCATTTAATAACTTAGAATATTATAGGAAAGCCTATTTACTTTAGGAGAGCTATCATCAAGCAAAACACGTTACATTAATTATATACAGATGCCTTTTTCCTCCTTTTACAGCAAATGAAAACATGATTTCATAGTAGAATATTACATCAGACCAATTAAAAATATTTTTAAAAAACAGATGAAAAATACTTTTAATATCAGCTTAAGGACTGGATATTTTTATTCTGATAAACGAGACTGATTAGGACATATATTCTAATATGATGCTTCGTAAATGACCTAATAGGCAGACAGAACCAATTACAATATTATAATTCAAAAATAAAAGAAGACTTTATTAATCCCAGAGGGAAATTAAATGTTGTTGTAGATCATTAATTCAGATTCTTCAAAGAGATATTGAAGGTGGAAGGCCTCCTGTAGCAGTCTGCATTACAGCGGGCCTGCAGAAGCCTCTGACTGAAGATACTCTGTTTTCTCAGAGTATTTTCAGTCTTGAGAAAACAGAGTATCTTAAATCAGCCAATTATAGGAAAAGAGGATAAAGGCTGATGAAAAAGCTTTGGGGTCAGAGAAGCTGTAATTGAACTCATGCATCACTGTTGCATTAAACAACTGCTGCTGTGTCATGTTGCTTTGTTCCACAGAAACCATCCAAAGTCCTGCAAGGTTTTAATTAAACCAATTCTGCTGAAATCCACAAGTCAAAACAAAAGCAGGCAGTCCTTTGTTTCTGCAAATTTCCATAGAACTGTTTCAAATTTGTGATTTTTCCTTGACACTAACTTTATTTTACAGTTGATGTTAAACAGAGAAGGAACTAGCATAAACGAGTTACCACGCCAGACTTCCTGAACGCCTCGTCTCAATTCTTGTCAGCGTTCGCCTTTACCTTGATGCAAAGGAGGCTAAGATGTCAAGAGTGAGCCTGAATTTAACAAGCTAAGCCAGCGCTGTCAACACAGCCTTGGAAGTTCATTAGTCAAATTCACTCCCTTTCAGCTACCACACAAAAAGCCACAGATGCCTTGACTTGGCAGAAAGAGCACATAAATGAAGCTCTGCATACTTTCCATTTTAGTGTTTGGAGTTGTTTGACTCCACAGCTCTGCTCGCCGAATGAAGAGGGTCTTCTTTTTGAGCGAACCGTCCCGACGGAGGCAGACATAATCCTGTTTCTGCATGATTTATCAGACACACACAAGGGAGGCAGAGTTCCTTCAGTCGTTCTCCTTACCGCTGCTCTTTCTCAAAGATTAAGAATAGTTTGTTTTTTTTTTTATGTCAAGCTGTTGTGCAAAAAAAAAAAAAAAAGGATTGATAAATCAGCGTCTCAGACCAGTAAAACTTTTCAGCTCCTTGCAAACATTTCAGTGGTGTTTGTTGTCCAGATGGCCTCAGTCTAGCTCTCTGTGCTGGTCACAACAACAAAGTGACTCGGTTTCATGCAGCATGGACCTGCGTGCTGAACTCCATTAAGGCAGCTTTATTGTTCTTCTGTTTGATCTCATTCCCACCTTTCATCTTTTGCTTCCTGCACGCTGAGGGTTGAGGTAAAGACTGCCACGTGTTTCATCTGTGAACGTGAAGCCAGTTTCGGTTTAACGTTGGGTAATTTAAGCATTATGAACAATGTTAATCACCACATCAAGGAGTCTGAACGTGGAATGTTTTACTATGTCTTTTCACTTGTGTCCTCTTAACTTTTGCGATTATTCTGCCGCGGATTGTTCTGTCTTTCTTTGTTGGGTTTGTATTTAGTTTCCCTCTCAGCTGAAGTACATATGCTGCTAGATAATAAACAGATGGGAAGACATTTAATTTTCAAATCGGTAACAGGAAACAGGAAATGTGTTAGCAGAACATACAGCCAGTGTAAAAAGAAAGTACAACCCTTTAAATATTTTGGTTCTATAAAAAGAGCTAGAAGAGATTCCAATAAATAATAAAAGATTAGTGCATGATGAAAAAGTTTGTTCAACTTGACATAATTACAAAAAAAATTTAGAACGAAAAGTAGAAGGTTTTATTTGGCTCAAACAAAAAATTGTATTTTGTTTCACACCAGAGTATCTGGCTACTCTGGCTGCCAGGTGTTTGCTCTATTCAAGAAACTCCCAATAGTTTTGTTTTCATTGGCAGTTTTAATCGCACAATTTGACATTTCAGGAATAAATTCGCTCAACGAAAACGCACCAATTATTATTTTTTTTTTTATCTTGTTTTCAATAAAAAGTTTTGCTATATGGTGGTGTTCCTGGCTGCATCAAATTAAGTTTATTTCACAGAACTGCAATGGAAACTTTTTTTTTTTGCTTCCCTGGAGTCACATGACCAACAAATTGATGTCGCCACAGCTGCAAACCATGAAGAGGAGGATAACAGGAAGTAGTTGGAGGATGATTGCGTGGCATACTTTTTAATGGCTTCTCAAGAGAACAAACTTATTCACAAGTGATTTTAATTGTGTTTCTTTTTTTAATGGAAAGACCGCAATTGTAAAATCTGTTTTGTTTTTTTTTTTTTTTACATTTGTGGATTAAGTTTTGCACACAGTTGAAATGGAAGCGCAGCTTCTCTGGCGCCTGATTTTTGCAAACAGCTCACCTGAGGATAAACGTCGAAACAGTTTGTATCCAGGATGTGTGGGGTCTGCAGAGATCAGCTGCTCTTTTCCTGACTCTAGATCTGTAAAGGTCCTGGATGGATGGAGTGTCAGCCATGATGATCATCCAGACATAACTGTTTGCTGGACGAGCCAAACCGCACAGTGATGGACGAACTCAGGGCAGACTAAATAACTGCAGCTTCGACAATGACCAGCAAGTCCAAGTGACCAACAAAACCACTAACAGGTAAAATCCAACAGGGTGTGAAGGAAGTCAAGATTTTGTCAAAGAAAGCTCAATGAGAAAAGAGGGGGGAAAAAATGTTTCACCGTTATCTCCTCTTTTATGTGCAACAATTTTTACAATATTCCAGTGTTGTTGGATCTGGATACATTTTAAATTGATTCTCCAGATTACAAACGACTTGCTGTCATTTCCAGGACATCCAGACCTCAGAAAAGACGAGCAGTCTGACAGCATCACTGTGACGATTTACCAGGCCGACTAGATGTTTTCCTGTTTTCTTCCTTTCTTTGTGTCCAATTCAGTCTCAAAGTGATTCAGAGTGAGGGACTCCCAAAAGACACACCAAAACAAACCAGACCAAGAACATTTTGGGCAAAAGCAAATCTGTCGTGTTGGGATTTCCCCAGTAGCTGAGCAGAGCGACTGCGGGACAAATGCGAGAAAGGCCCTAAAGTCAAACTCTTGAAAGATCGATAAACTTTACATCTCAAAGCTTTTATTCCAAACTAGTGTAGAATTTATCTTATTTATTTATGTTTGTCTTGGTGTTACTTTTACATAAATAAATGGCTATAAAATTAATAACATATTCAATTATTCTGTGTAATTATTATTTAATTAAAGAACTAGATCCTAATTTTCATAAGTATACATGACATTAATATAGACTGACAGCTATGAACGTTTTTCACTTACGCCAGGTTGGTTTAGTTAGCTTCCCTCGAAAAATGAAATGATTTCCTCTCGTTAAATTTGTCCAACATTTGATTGATCATCTGAAACAAGAAATGTGATTTTTAAAAAGATGAGACAGAAAAAAATCTCTTTTTTTTTAACCACATCTATAGGCATTTTTTTGTTGCTTTGATCTTTGTGTCAGCAAAGGCAAGAAAAGGCAGGAAATCGCCTCCTCCTCTACAGACTCTCAGTCTTCCAGCACTGTACAGACTTTACAGGAGCTCGCCTGGGCGGGTTGAGTGTGGTCCTGCAGACAGACCGCCTCCTCGAATAAGAGGAGAAGAAACATCTCGCCGGTTCTTTATGTCGGGACTATTTTGGTCTCATAACATCTAAAATGGGCTAAATTGACCAATTTTTCACAATATATACAATCGTGACCGGTTTTAAAACTGTGAAGCCACATAACGACCCACTTTTCCTGACATCACACTTAAAACTGTAATGTCTTTACCATTCAACCACATCACTTGCTGTTGTTGGGTAATTGCACAGCGCGGCAGAAGGAGTTCTCATATTATATAAACGTTTGTTGTTATTTTCAACATTTTTTACCTCCATTCTCTTGATTCCCCCGACTCCACGGCCGCCGTAGTACGACGCGTCCACAGTGGGCCACCTCTTCTTTGGAAAACCGTCTTCGTCATCCTAAACAGTGTTTTAGACACTTAAAATAAATGAATTTAATTGTAACTTAAATGTGTAAATAAAATCAACCTACAGAGAGGTCTTCAATCACAGGAGGAGGCGGCTCATGAATAACCTGCAACGAGTTAAAACCGTTACTTTAGCAGGTAAAAATTTGTTCATGAAGCATTTGGCTGATTGCAAAAGCAAATCCGTTTATTTCCGTTTATTCTTGGCTATTTTCATACCACGGTGCAGCAGAGAGGCCAGAACCACCACAGCAGGATAACGGTGAACAAGAGCAGCAGGATGAGCAACGCGATGCCCACAAACGTCCCGTCGGACTGCAAAGAAGATTTCAGTTTTCACTTTGCACTGATTTTGATTCTTAACAATTAACAAATGACAAGACTTCACGTCATGAATACGTGATATTGGACAAAAACGACAATTATACAAGAATTAAAGAGAAATCAGAGTAAAGACTGGGGAGAAGTCCACAACATAGCTGATGTTTGGTGTTCACATCTAAGGTAATGATCTGAACCAGTTTGGTTTCTTTTATACTTACACAGGTGATGGCAGTAATTGTGACAGAGCTGGATATGAAGCTGAGGCCGTTATTCATGCTGACATGGAGAGTGGCTGACCTGGAAAAAGGGAAGATTTCCGGCAATGAATGAAAGGGTCCACTTAACAAAACCAAATGAATGTGTTTGTGTGCTATATTTGTCGTCTAATTAGTTTATTTTCATTTCAGCAGGAGGGTGAAATCGTGGCATGTTTCTCTCTGATCCCAGGTATATTTGGTATCACGATTAATGCATTTTTTAAGCTTCACGTATTGGGAATGTCACACAAAACCTAATTCCCTGATCCATGTATGTCAGCAGAGAAGCTAAGTTAGCCTTTTTAAATTTTTAAAATTTCAATCTGTTTTTGTGTTCACAGTTTACTAAACTCTGCTTTAGATTAAAGTAGAGGTGAGTCAGCTTCTTGGTGTCATTAATGAGCATGCATAAACAAAAATACGAGCACAAGCAGTGATGTTTCATCTTATTATTGTACTCTGTATGTGTTTCTTGTGAACATTATTCCCACTTACGTTCCAAATCTCTCCAGAACCGGAGCTGGACACAAAAGATAAGTATCTCTCACCACCAAAGGTCTTTCCACTGCAGGAACAGAAAAAAAAAAAAAAAGATTTCAATCTCAAAGAGATAACAAAAAAAATCACAGGATGGGTCAGCGATGAAGAGGAAAAGTCAAATTCAGATTTTTCTTCTCGTCTTTAAACATCAGAAGCTTCAATCCTTTTTTTAATGTTATTAAATTCCTGGACTTCCTGTTCTGATGGAAACTGAAGCGAGCAGGGGAGGGTTTGTGGCTTATTTACCCTGGCTGAGTGAGTGTCTAGTGTGTGCAAAGAGCCCTGGTTGCTGATGAGCTCCACATTCCCCTGCAGACATCTGAGAAGTCCTGAGTGCTTTACCAGCCGATTCAAAGCAAAGAACGACGGCGCTGATGGTGACAAACGAGCTAGAACGCTAACGTCAGAGCGGCCCACCAAGAATTTTTGGCCCCTGCCCATCCATATGTTGAGAGTCAAAATGCGTTCAACAGAGTGGCGTCAAAGACACCGGAGTGCCTATTATGTAACGAGGATTAAGACTTAGTATTGGCTGTGCTTTTAGGTAACAAGTATGGAGTTTATTATCTAGTTTTATTGACTCATCCTTAGTTTTTCCACACTTAGCTTGCTATTTATAGTGACAGTCTTTTTTTTTTTGTCGAATACTTAAGTAAACATCTGGATGAATTTGTATTTCTAAACATTTAGAGGTCATAAAAGACTTGAGAATGAGGTGGAGGATCAACTTTCAGCAGGACAATGAATGTAAACGAATAACCAGCGCTACAATGGGACAAAATAGATGTGTTATTCTTAACCTTGATCCCTTGTCCTTCACGTTTTGGGTGTTTCTCCACTGCAGCACACCTAACTCAAATGAATGCACTGCCTTCTTAGCAAAAGCCTGTTAATCTAGTTAACCTAACACATGCAGGGCAGGGGATCTAGAGGATGGATAAAATGGCTCAGTCAAAGTCCAGGCTTCGATCCAGGTGAGAGTTTGGAGCAGGACATTCAGCCTGACTGAATCTCCTTCTAATCTGACTGAGCTTCACCAATTTTGCAAAGAAGAATTGTCAGAAATATCACAAAAAGTGTGTTATCTGTTTGTGAAAAACTCCAGAAAACACATTTGAGATTTTTATTTTTAGAAAATGTTGTTTGATTCAACACACAAAATCTCAGTAACGTACAGAAAGGTTTGAGTTTGTAACATAACGTTTAAGGGCAACAACTGCTTTTGTGTGGCACTGTAGCCACAACTGAACCGAGAGAAAAATCCGACACATTACAAGCTGTTATTAGGCATGATAAGATCTTTTAAAGTGAAGAACTTTTTTTTTAAAAATGTACCAAAATTATAAGAAAGTCTGGAAGGCTTTGAATGAGTTACTGCAGGAAGATAGTTTTTGTTTTCAAGCTTTTTATTTCTCAGTTTTAGTGTTTAGCGAAGAACATTTACAGTTATATTGAAATAAGTTTGAGATAAATCCCAAAGAAGTGCAGCACTTACTGAAAGTCACTGTGTCGTTGATGCGGAAGCTGCAGAGGACTTTCTGCACGTCTCTGGCGTGAAGGAAACCGTTTCCTCTGACAGACACCTGGAAGTTTTCTGGAGGGACATGGCAAATTAGAAATATTGTTCTAAAAGAAAAATTTACCTCTGTGAAAGTTTTTGAGTAAATAAAACCAGAAGTTTAAATACGCTGATCAAACATCTCTTGCTTTGGGTGAGTTAAAATTACCTAAATTATTTTGATTAGCTAAATGCCAGAAACCCTTTTTGTAACCTTCTTCAAATTCAGAAGTTTAACATACATCTTGTCAGTATCAGAGATAATTGTCTGTATGACTTGGATTAAACCTTAAACAAAAATAGGTCAACAGACACATTAAAGATCACCTGTAGACGTATTTTAAGGCCACACCTAAAACACATTGCGTTCTCGTTTGACATCAAATCAAAAGAAATCAGGCAAGATGTCAGGAAGAGAATTTGCGCAGCTGCAAAAACCTGGTTGATCCTTAGGAACAATTTCTGGATGTTTGAACATTTATCTGTTCAAACAATTTTATGCAAGTTTGGACATTATGGAAAAGTCCAGTCATCACACTCAGGAAAGAGCAGGAGGTTATGTGACCCAAAGATAAATGTGTTTTGGTCTAAAATGTGCAGAAAGACCCCAGATAAAAAAGCCAAAGAGCATCATTATCCATGTGAAACGTGTCCTGAGGTGACATGGGCTCTGCAGCTCTAAAAGAAACATAAACAGCCAGACTCCACTTTGCAGATGCACACATGGAGCAAGACACTCATTTTTGGAGAAATGTCCTGTGATCTGATGAAACTAGAGTGGGGCTGTTTGGCCATAATCACCTTTGTTACTTTTGCAGGAACAACAGGGACTCTTGTAGCACCCTGACTTTCAAGTATGGTGGTGGCAGCATCATGCTGTGGGACTGTTTGGCTGCAGGAGGAACTGGTGCTTTTCATAATACAGATGTGATCATGAGGAAAGAACATTATGTGGAAATATTGAAGCAATATCTAAAGATAAACTGTTTATTCCACCAAATATTGATTTCTGAACCCTTCCTGAGTTAAAATATTAGTATTGTTGTTTCTACATGAATATGAACTTGTTTTCTTTGCATTACTTGAAGCTTTTTCATTATTTTGACCATTTCTCATTTTCTGCAAATACAACATTTTTGCTTGGAATTTCAGACATGTTATCAGAAGTTCATAGAATAAAAGAACAAAGTTCATTTTACTCAAACATATTCCTATAAAAAGTAAAATCAGATAAACTGATCATTTTAAATGGTCTCTTAATTTTTTTCAGAGCTTTTCCATGGAAAGACAATTTTCCCTGATTCTCATCAAATGTATGAAGAAAGTTGGGAAAAAAAAAAATTAACACACACACACACACACACACATACTCTAAAAAATGCCCTTGCTAGTTTTTCTGGAAAATAGAAATTAATTTGGTAATTCTAACTGACTCAAAACAACAAAAGTTTGGTTTAATTTAACTTCAGACAGTGAGAAAAAATATCTACGTGTTTTACTTTTTCAGTGTATGTAAATTTCTGGCTCCAACTGTATATGTTCATAGTTAAATGAAAAGCATTTTATGTTTTTTTTTTTTTGTTTGTTTGTTTTTTTTACCTCCTTCGCAGATACTTGAGGGCTCTACTGCCAGGATCTCGATGCAGGATCTCTTCAAAATCTAAAAAAAGAAGTTAATCTCATCACAAACTCTGTATTCTGCTCTTATAGGATCTAATCAGGTGTGTGGCGCACCGAGTCAATAACTCCTTGCAGAGCTTGAAATCCATCATGCACAGGGAAAACGTGGTCCTTACTGTCAGCGATGGTGGACAGCTGTCAATTAAAGCAGCAAACAGTTTAAGTCACTCCAATTTAACAATGAACTGATCCATTTATGAGCTGGCAGGCAGAAGTCACCTGTGTTTCGTTGAAGTCTTTCACCCCAACGCAGTACACAGTGGCACCGAGTTGCCTTGCTCTGCCAGCCTAAGTGGTTAGACAAGACTTTAAAGTCCAATTTGGCAAAATGAGAGGGAAGAAAAGAACATCATCCTCCTCCTCCTCAGCTTGGAGTCATTTTCCTCACCTCTCTTTCCGCCAGGTCAAACTGATTCTCCCTCAGCTCTCCGTCTGTCAGGGCGATGATAACACTAGCTGTCCGGTAGCCTTAAGAAAAATTAATAATAAGAATAAGAAGAAGAATAAGAAGAAGAGGAAGAAGTAGAAGAAGAAGTAGAAGAAGAACTCAAGAGTTTAAGATGTGAAGAATATAAAATTTAGCTGAAGGGTAGTTTTCTGTGTAGACATCAGGTTCTTTGTGTCCTGATACATGCTTGAATATTGAGAAATTCCCATTTTAAAAGTGCTCTCACCATACCCGGTGCCATAGTATATTTGCTCACTGGCCTGAAAGGAAAACATCTGAAGTTAGTCCTCTGATTCGGACTCAATTTTCCCATTTACTTGACACGTTTATCAAGATATTTACCCTTTGAAAGCCTCTGTGCATGAAGGTGTCTCCACCTGGATGCACCATGCGCAGCTCCTCCAGTCCCTCTCGAATTTGCTCTCTGATTAGGAAACAAAAAGAAAACGCCGAAAATACAAACCAGAGCCGGACGCATAAAGCAGAGTGTTGATGTGAGTCCCACCTGTCCTCCGTTAGCGGCATGAGGATCCGTCCCTCAGTGGAAAAGACGATAAAAGACATCCGCAGCTGAGGACTGGGATATTTAGAATAAAGATAATAAATGACAGAAGGTAACTGTGACATTTCATTTGGCTGGATTTTCCGCACCAACCTGATGAACTTGTGGGCGAGATGATCCACGAAGTAATAGATCTCGTTCCAGTAATACTGCACACTGCCAGACCTGAGTCACAAAGTCCAGAGCAGTGAAAAAGAAAAAGTAAGAGACGGGAATATTTCTTATGCAAAACATTCAAGGAGTTGATACTTTTTAAAAGACTGACAAGTTAAATGAGGCACAAACCAATTAAATATTCCAATTGGTTTAATTGCTGAGGTGCTACTATTGAGAGTTGATCATTTATTCAATAAATACTTTAAAGTTGTTAGCCAACTGTTTACTCAACCAAACACTGTAGAATGCATTGTAATGAATTTTGATAGTTGTTTGACTCAGATTGGTACTTTAGACCACAGTTCAGATTGAATTATTTAATTATTTGCAGAAAAACAAGATGGTTAATTATAGCAAATAAGAAAATCTCCATATTTTCTGAGGGTCTTTCTAAGTTTTGGAGTTTTTTTGAGTGTTTCTGTTTCTATTTTCATTAATTATCCATCCAGTCCTGAAACATGGCAGCACAAAATCTACCTAAAGAAGAAGTAATGTTAAAAACTTGACCTAAGAAGAAGCATCAGATCTAAAATATATGATAAACCGGGTTTGATGTTCTTTAAAATATAGGGGGAAAATCCAGCCAAGGTGGAGATCTACTGATTAAAACTAGAAAGTACAAAACACTCTGGGCAATTTTATAAATTATAAAATTGGATTTGACACAGCACTTTAAGGAAACCACAGTGTGAGCTACTTAAAGACCAAAAACTAAACCAACACAAACAAAACCAGGAGTTGAAACCTGATCTGCAAGAAGATCCAAGTCACCCAATTCATTTCCAAAACAAAATTAATCAAACCTTTTATTACTCTTCACAAACAACAGCGACATCATGTTGCACAATGGCTAAAGAGCTGAACAACAGGTCTATATTCATATCTGTTTACACATTACAAATAAACCGTGGGATAATTCCATGAACTTTCACTGTTGCTATCGCAAAAAAATAGCAAACTTAAGCCAAAGTCACAAGATTTTAACTGTTACTCTCTTCTGCTTTGCATTTTAATGTCAGGTGCAAGTAAAAAAAAAGAAAAAAGTGAACAAAAAATGCGGGGTATTATATTGACGTCAGTAATTAAATGGAAATTTGGAGCTCTAAGAGGCTCCAGCGCCTACCCTGGGCAGCCTCTCGTCCTTATGTTTTCATTTATCCAGAGATGTGAGTCTAAGTGGAGGGACGCCGCCAAAAACCAGGGATCTTTGGAACATCTGGCGCTAATGGTGCAAGGGTTCTGCTGCCCAGAGCACAGAGAGAAACGCTGCTGCTCCTGTCAGGAAAGTACGTCTGCAGATTGACAACGCGAGTCCCTGCAATGAGTTTTATTGTCCGAGATGAAAAAAAAGCGTTTTCAGAGAGATGTAAACCAGGTCATGTGACACAGGATCCGCTCTGAAAGGTCATGTTATCTCCGTGACAGTTTAATCCCCTGTTGTGGTTTAACCCTCATGTGTTTAAAGGACGTAGGAATCTGCTGCTGGATTTTATTATCACTTTAGAAGATAGCAGGTTTATTTCTAAAATAATCAGTAGATTAGGGGGATGTACTCAGATAAATCATCAGTTATGTAAGTCTGCATACTGTGGAAATAAAAGCTTTTAAGGCAAAACATAAAAGTGTCCTCTTTTTATTGCATTCCAATATTTCATTCATATTTCAAACTCCCACTTTAGCAGTCAAGCAACATAGAAAAACAACTGGAAGCAGCACATTAGCTAACTGTGACAAATGCATTATTGCAGACGTAGGGTTTTCAAACAAAAATGTTGTAAACAATAGAGAAAATAGCATAATGCAAACTTGAAATAATATCAGAGGGGTAACGTTTTCAAAACATAGAATTTGATGAACTTATTTGTTAGTTTTCTGAAACTTTTCCAGAATTCAGAAGTTACTTTCTGAAATTTGCTACATACTTTATTTATTTATTTATTTTTAGCAATTTTCATCGAATTTACTGATTACTTGCCAGAAATTTAGGGATTACTTTCAGGACTTAGTGGGTATAACTTTACCTAACTTACTACTTACTTTCCTGAATCCTAAGATTTACTTCCTGAGTCTCACTAGATTTTTTCTAGAACTTTAGTGGAACAAGCTGAATAACGTGCCTGGAACTTGGAAGACACTTTCATAAATAATTTAGGTTATTCATAAAAACCTATTACTTTGTTCTATGGAGATTGCAGGGAAGTATGTTGCAAGTTTCAGAAAGGATTATCTTGATAAACCCAGAGAAAGCAGTCACTAAGTTTTGTTGAAGCTTCATGTAAGTTCCAGCCTCTAAGTTATGGAAAATTACCTTGTAAACTGTTAAAAAAATACCAAAAATATTTAGATAAAACACAAATATGAGAAGTATAAAGACGTGGTTCCAAATTGTTCACATTTGTGCGCACTGTTCACTTATTGCAGTCACAAACCCTTTATTTACATACCCAACTATAATTAGAAATTGTAGCTTTTTATAGCAATAACATTTGCACCTGTGACATCAAATAAAACTGTGATGATTCATGCACCAAACTTCTCCTGAGATTATCCGAAAGTAGAAGCACTCACTTGTCTAGAACAAAGTAAAGATCAAATCCTCCATAGCAGGACGACCCTTCTTCCCTTCTTTCATATATCTGTGCCATGCCGCTGACCACCAGGACTGCCACCAGTATGCCCAGCTCCACACGCAGTATGGCTTGCCCACACCAGGACTGGGACATGATTCTAAATTTAAAACAGGCCTCAGCCTGAATGAGAGTAGAAGCAAATATTCTCCAGCTGAAATATTCCCCGTTTAAGGTGCTCAAGTGTGGAGAGGCATCCTGGGAAGACTGATCTCCAAAGCATAAAGTTCTCCTCTGAGTTAGAGTCCCATCTCTGCCGCAGCAGCAGATGTACGCTGGCAAAGGACCATGGAAACCAGTGGGACTGGGTCTCTGGCTCCCTCTTTCTTCCATTTTGCATCAAAGGTTTCTGCAAAAGCAGAGAGAAATAATTTAATGGTAGATTAAACACTATTTCTCCGATCTGATACTTGTGAATGAACCTATAGCTTTTCAGTCCTTTTTGTGTTTTAAAATTGTGAATTTCTTTGCTTTTTGATTTCTTTAATAAGTGATTTTGCTCCTTATCCATCAGCACCACATGGTGGCGAGAACATAAATACCACTGAACAACAGTGAAGTGTTCAGCAATCAATCTGCATTACATATTAGAAAGCTAGAGTAAAAACTCATCCCTCTTGATAATTACTTTATTTATTAATTGGATATTTTCCCACCAAGAAATGTGGCATATTCACTTGTTTTTTCTTTTTTTTTATTTTCATTTATTTAATTATTAATTTTTTTACAGTATTTACTCAGAAATAGAAGGATTTGTTGGGTTATAAAATATCATCCCAAACTTTTGGTACCGTATATTCCAGACTATAGAGTGCACCACACTATGAGCCGCACCCACAAAGCTTAAAAAAATGGAAACAAACATATATAAGCCGCACCGGGCTATAAGCCGCTGGTATCTCCACCGCTCTTGGTTTCCCACAAGGAAATAAATCTGCTATTAAGGACAAAGCCCTCTGTCTCCAACGCCGAACCATGGATTCGTTCACGCCAATTTACAAGCAGCGACTCTATTTCCCTCCTGTACTACCAGATCTTTAGCCCTCAATTTAAAAGCTGCATCATATGAACTTATTCGTGATGTTTCCATGGTGAGAAGGCATCATATACGTATTTGTGTCTATGGGGTATGAGTTTCTCAGTCGTGCCTGCTGCTAGCATGTGCTTGTTCTAAAGGAAAATTATCACTTTCTTCTTTGATTTCCAATTTTGACTTCCAATGATTCACTTCATGCTTCAGAGCCCCCTGGTGGTTGAAGAAAAATACAAAGAAAAGCCTCACCGGGCTACAAGCCGCGTGGTTCAAAGCATAGGAAAAAAACTATGTATTTTTAGGTCAAAAACAATGCAAATACTATACTATGCAATGTCTTTGTTTTTTAGGTCAAAAACAAAGACATTGTTTTTGACCTAAATGGAAGGGTTGTAGAATGAAGAAGCAGCCCAGATGTCTACAGTCGCTCTGGGGGAGCTACAGAGATCCGGAGCTCAGGAGGGAAACTATTTTTAACAGGATAAAAGTTTGACACACACTCTGAAAATGTTGAATTGTGGGAGACGGACAAGAATGAAGGTTTTGTTGAAAGAAAGCTAATAGAAATATTGTTTAGTTTGCCACAAGGGACATGGGGAGGATGCAAACACTCTGTGAAGCACGGTGGTGGCAGCAGAGCTACATTCACACAAGAAACTAAATCCTATTCAGAATCCCGACTTGGAAGTTTTGTTCACAGATGTTCTCTCGCCTAATCTGACTAAAATTTAGCTGTTTAACAACAAAAACCATCCTGGAGAAACATTGCAGTTCTTAAAAGCAGGAAGAGGGATACACAAATGGCACAATTATCCACGCCCTTGTCTGCACCCACACTATTCCATCTAAGTTCAATTCAGTTTTACAGGGCATTGTATGTGCCTGCTCCAGTAATGGCTGCGTCAGTATTTCCAGATGTTATAATAACGCAGCTCGCTGGCAGCCTACAGGTGGTGTAGTTAAACCCTTTCTGCTTACATGACTCTCGACAGGATTTGAACTTGCATTTCATGTTTGAGTTTAGCTAATTGATTGGGAGGGGAGGGGGGATTGTTTTGTAGTGTTTTTTGTTTTTTGGATTTGACTGCATTGACAGTGTGTTTTCCATTTACACTCATTCCTGGACTATGACTAAAATAAGTGACGTTTAACATTTACTTGGACGCGCTGAGCCCAGACTCACTCCTGGAGCGGCATGTCAGCGGCAGCAAGGAACAATCCCACTGAGGAACTCCAGGTTTTACTCCATTTTCTTTTTCAGTTTTTATTTCTATTTTTATTTATTTAATTGTTTTTTTTTGTTGTTGTTGTTGTTGTTGTTTTACTCTTCCAGCCATATCCATCTATTAGCAGCGTCGTTCTCCTTTTAGTCCGAAGTAATGATGGACTCGGCACCAGCCGTGCTGCTCCTGCTGTGCGGTCTGAGCGTCTCTCTGGCGGCTGATGGAGAAGCTGCGGGCGCGATTTTCTTCAACCCAGAGGATGCGGTCGATTACAAGGATCCATGCAAAGCAGGTACCGTGAGATTTACTCTAAAATTGTTTATATTTGATATACAAAAGGGGTTTTTGGACGGTTTGAAGCGCAGCCCTGCTGTTGAGACCAGAAGCAGCAAACGAAGCTTCCCTGCACGTTGCCGTGATGGCAGCATATGGGTTTAAATTTAGGTTTAAATGGATTCACTTAGGAGTTTGCAAAGTATACAAGCAATAAGTCATAAAACGTTATATTTAAATTTACAACATATAAAATATTCAGATTCTGAATATTCAAGCTTTCTTTGTATAACTTATGAAAAGGAGATTAATTTACAGTGCAACATAAAATATAGAAACTGATTGAACCTGGCAGACTTGGCAGACTTAGCTGATATGAGAATATTTAAAACTTTTTCCAAAAATGTGAGGATATTCTGATATTCATTGTTTTCTTTGTGTAATATGAGCTATTCTGTGTTTGTTTATACAGGTTTGTTTGCTTTAACACAAAAGAACGTACTTTCTTTTTCAAATTGTTCAATTAAATTAACAACATGTGTGTATTTTCAATGGTATACCAAAAGTTTACACAACTATAGAGGTTGAAAACTAAAAAAAAAAAAACATCTATCAAAATAAAGCAATTAGATTTTATTTAAGCAGTAAAATGGTAAATTGCTTTTATCTTTACAAACAACTTACCTGTATGTCTGCATTTTTAAAATATATCTCAATAATCATTACATTACATTATTCAAAGCCTTTTTTTAATCACTGACCAGCAATAATCTATTATTGGTAGAGAGCATAAATACAGAGCATATTGGAAAGCCTCTTTGCCATCAGATTCAACTCTAATCCAAAATGTTAATGTTGCTTCCAGTCAGAAGAAACATCTTGGTAAAATTAGAAATTTACTGTACTTTTGGGCTTAACTAGAGATGTAAACAGATACAATAGAAAAAAGACTTTAAGGTTGTTTTTTTTTTGTCTTAAGAAGAGAATTAATATATTTTAATATCATAATTCACTAATACAATGTAATTTATAATTTAAAAAAATGACACATACTTTCCTATTCTGATGGGGTATGATTGTTTTAAAAACAACAATAAAAAAAAACTTTGCCAAAAGGTCAAGATATTCAAGAAAACAACTTGTTTACATCGTCCAACATGGCCAACAGTTCTCTAGTAATCAAGGGCCTCCAGCAGGTTTGGTTTCCTTTCTCCTTCCTCTCGTTTTTTTTTTTTTTTCATTGTGACTTTGGGAACCTTCGAAACACACAGCTCCTCCGCTTTGAGACAGTTGCCTGGAGACTGTGGGTCACCGAGGCCATGCCAGCACTGTTCCTCGGCTGGACGCCGGCGAAGTCCCTCCTGGCCGTGGGGCACGGAGCACAGGCTCTGCAGGAGAGGCATGGCAGTCATTTACAGTCACCCTCTGCATGACTGAGTCGACTTCAAAGGCATCCATAAGACGGGCCAGATCCTCTTATTTGCACAGCAGAAGGAGGCGCTCATAAGAAGTAATTGAAGCGAATGAGGTGGCAAAAAGTTTCCTGAAAATCGAACTGGAGCACTTTGGAAATAAATGACTGATCAGGCTTTAAAAAGGTGTTTTCGAATCACCCCTGATTATCCATAGACTATGTATTTAAAGAAGTTGTCAGAAGATATGAGTAAACATCCATACTGTTGATTTCCCGTAGGAAAAAAAAAATGGAATGCAAGGGTGGAAAAGGTATAATTGAGATTGTAAAAACAATATTTGATTATGTTTTTATCATTAATCTGTATTTCTTTACCAGTTTTTTGCATTAAAGTTAAAGAAGGTTAAAACTTCTTCACAGATGGGTCTACCTAATGGATCCAGTGCAGGAAGCAGCACAACATACTTAGCAATCCTTTCATGTATTTGGTCAACGTTTATCTTCCCTCCCTCCTTTCTAGCCACAATAATTTTAATTTATGTTCTAATGTGAATCATGATAAAGCAAAATTTAATTATGGGCATTATAGGATGAATTTAATTGAATATTTATGTATTTGTGCTTGTGTTTTCAAAATGAGAAAACTGGCTGAAACTTGATTATTGTTGTACCAGTATAATTTATGGTTTTGTAAACCTTGTATCATTTGTGTCTGTCTCATAAAATCTCATTTACCGTATTTTTCGGACTATAAGGCTTGTAGCCCGGTGCGGCTTTTCTGTGTATTTTTCTTCAACCACCAGGGGGCTCTTTAGCAGGAAGTGAATCATTGGAAGTCAAAATTGGAAATCAAAGAAGAAAGTGATAATTTTCTTTTAGAACAAGCACATGCTAGCAGCAGTTTCGACGGAGAAATGTTTTCACACTCATACCCCTCATCATGGAAACAACACGAAGAAGTCCATATGATGCAGCTTTTAAGTTGAAGGCTATCAATCTGGCAGTACAGATCGATAGCCGCTGAACGTAAGCTTGGCGTGAACGAATCCATGGTTCGGCGTTGGAGACGCAATGCTGCGTCCAAAACCTTTGTGGTGCGACTTATAGCGAGGTGCGCTCTATAGTCCGGATAATACGGCAGATACATTAAAGTGTGTGTTTTTGTGATGCAACAAGTTGGGGCCCAATTATTTAATGTTTCCTTATGTTTTAAATTTGCACAGCTGCCTTTTTGGGAGACATTGCTCTGGACGAAGAAGATCTTCATATGTTTAAAGTCAGCCGGGACGTCGTTAACCACACAAACTCAGGTTCGTCTCAACAGGAAGAAAAAGCACATTTGTC